GCTTTTACATGATTTGTTTTATGTGTAGATCGACTGGATACGCATTATTCACCGTGTCACTATTTATTTTTAACTGGAAATCGCATATCTTTTTATATCAACATTCATTTTGATAACAGTATCATTCCAGAAGCCTAACATTGAGAGGAACCAGAGTGAAATTTTGACCCTCAGCCAATGCTGAAGGGTAAGGTGAGAGAAAGTTTACTGAATTCTTTTCAGAAAGGAATTTCAAATGTATTGATGCATTATTCGTTTTCCATTAACCAGTGTGCACTTCCTGAGGACATAGCATAGCAATTTCAAGTCCTTACTATTTGTTTGGCTGTCTTTTTCTGCACAACAATGAAGCAAGTAAGGTTTATATAGCTCTAGCATTGACCCAGCTGTATTTTTTCCTTGCAAAGGCAGGTTTTTAAAATTGCGGGTTTTTTGCGGGTTCGGCTCAGCCAAAATCAGCTTGCGGGTAGTTGTGGTTGGGCAAGGGTTAGCTGCGGGGCGGGGCGGGTAATGAAATTGCAAATTTGGTGCATCTCTAATATGCAACATGACCCTTTCCGGTCAGGTCATGACCTTGACCTGAGGTCAAATTTTCAAGTTGACCTTTCAAGGTCAAGTTATAGTTCATTCGATGCGTCTTGACGAGAGGAACACGATGCCGGTAAAAGTAAGCTCGTACAAGGCTTGGGTCAAAAGTTATTGCAGAAAAACTGTTACCGAAAAAATCGGCTATTTTTGCAGTTTTTGCCCCCTGCAGGCAAAACCGTTGACGTTAGGTCAAATCTGAGAGAATTACTCAGAAAGGGCGTTAATAGGGCTATCGAATGCGCTTTTCAGCGGCGCTGTAGCTCTATTGGTTCCCGAGTTATGCGTTGGCTTCTTGGAAATTGTCGACATTCGACCTGGAAATCGGCGAAATTTTGCCTTCAATGACCTCTGGTGACCTGACCTTTGACCTGACCAAAAAATTGACCGAAGTGATTTCCTCATTATTTTTGACGCTCTTTCGAACGCCGCCTTCTGCGTATCGCTACGTGGCCCAGGAGCCGAGTTAGAAGGGGGGGGGTGTTCAAACACCCCCCCCCCCAGCAGGGCGTGGAAATCCAGGACCCCCAGCCGGGCGCGGGTTAAAAACAATAATTAAGTTAAAAGATGTATCTTAGTAGGTAAAAGTTATCATATTTACTTTACACATTTAAATGCCTGAAACTGAATCGAATAGTAAACATCACCACTAAAAATCTTTACACATTCAATGCCTGAAACCGAATCGAATACCTAGTATCACCACTAAATCTAAGCAAGCCTTCCTCGATTCGACCGACAAGTGGCGCCTCTACCGGCAAACACACGTACTCGAGATTCAAACACTTGACACAGAGGTCATTGGCAGCAATATAATTTTTCGGGTGGTTCCGCAAGAACGCAGGAACGCTTCAAAATTTCGGGTGGTGCGTTCCTCTTACTTGCGTTCCTTTGAAAAACTTTGCGTTCCTGCGTTCTTGCGTTCCTAAAAAAGGCGGTGCGTACGTACGGAAGAACGCAGGAACGCACTAAAGGAACGCACTTGCCCAGCTCTGCTCGTAAGTAATTATTTATCAAGTTTTGTTGTGTTACACATTTGTTTATGAAGAAAAATTGGCTGCGTCAGTATCGTCACCAATCACCATGCTACTTGGGTTTAACTGTAGGTATCATGGGCTTTGTTTACATTAATGGTGTAGCCAGCCCAAGGTGTAGCCCATCATTGTCAATTGGGTCACCACTTTTGGATCATGATACACACTTAACCCTGTCTTGACCGGACTCGAAATGAATGACTTGAATTGAAAGAAGGTTTGATGGTTCAGGCATGGACAAGGTTCAGGGTTCAAGTTATTTTCCTAACACCTCATGCAGTTGACTTGAATCCACATTCCAGTAAAATAACTGACCTGAATATTTGTCAATAGTTACAAAATAAGTTATAAATGTTTTTTTGGCAATGCAAATAATTAAGAGATTGCCTGATTTGTTTTTGTTACCTTATTTCAAAGTATTAGGTACCTTTCAAGGCTTATCATATGTCTTGAGAAAGTTTGAAGCATTTGTTTGATAATTCCCTGATTTCGGTATCTAGTCGGTATTTCCCCCTGTTTCTGAAAATCGGTTCGGTTTTGGTATACTCTCAGTGGTTTTGGTCGGTATCGGTTTGGTATTGGTTTCCAAAATTTCTGAAATTGACATCACTAGTCTACACTCTGCATCCCGAGTGGGGCCGCAGGAGCCCGGTGGAGGTATTCTGTGATATGGAAACGGACGGCGGCGGTTGGACCGTGTTTCAGCGACGCGAAGACATTCTGCCAAGGGAGGACTTCTACCGCAACTGGACCGAGTATAAGGACGGATTCGGAGACCTCACAGGAGAATTCTGGTGGGGGCTAGAGAAGCTGTGGCTGCTCACTAGGACGCCGGACAGGAGATACGAGCTGCGCGTCGATCTGGGAGATTTTGACGGAGAGAAGAGATACGCCAGGTATGAGAGCTTCAGAATTTCATCAGAGTTTGACGGATATCGTATAACTGGTGGGAACTACACAGGAAATTCTGGAGACAACATGAGTCATCACTTCGGGCAGCAGTTTTCGACGAGGGACAAGGACCAGGACAGTGCCTTTGGTAAAAACTGCGCCCAATACATTAACTGTGGCTGGTGGTTTAACTATTGCTATTATTCAAACTTGAATGGCGTCTATATGCCAAGAGAAAATAATGATGCCAAGTGGGGAGGTTTAATATGGAATACTTGGAGAGGCGGCCGGTATTCCCTTAAAAGTGCTGAAATGAAAATCCGTCCATAAGCTGCCAGGATCGGGTAACTAATTAGAGATGTTCTTTGACATTCCGCAGCACATTCATGCTTTCTCTATCATTCATTTTTACTTGCTTTGCATATTTGTGTCGTAGCCTACCTGCATGCTATGTTGTCTCGAAGACACTACGACTTTTGCGTTAATCACGGAGATTAGAGTTTATCAAACAGAATGGGGTCGCTTAAGTGTTAACTGACTAGTGACTACGCAGAAAGCTACGAATCATCTGTAAGCGTACTCATATGCTATTATAATGTAGTTTTAATGCGTTTGTGTATTAAGGCGTGTACAAACTTCCAAATATAATGCACAACCCGCGCAGGTAATATGTATTGTTGAGAAAACATGAGCAGGGAGATTTTAGTCTCGTAGTAACATGCCATGTGGCGCAGAGCTTCAGAATTTGTCCGTAACCAAGGTGTCAGGCGCTGCAGTCTCCAATGGTGGAGCGGGGCTGCGGCCAGTGCCTAACACCAGGCGACGCTAGAACTGTCCTCCGTTCACTGATCGATATAATAAACGGTATTTTATGGCGATGTATGACGCATTTTTGCTGTCTTCTACGTCGTAGAGTTTTTACCTCTATCTGTTTCCTACCAATCAGCTGACCTGACGGCGGTACAGATCACACTGCTAACGGCTGTGATTTAACCATGGAAGATGCAACTGGTACAGAACGGCAACATTACAGCATTACAGCAACATTACAACGCGGCCACCCAGGGAATATGGAACATGGAATTGGTACAGAACGGCAACATTACAGCATTACAGCAACATTACAACGCGGCCACCCAGGGAATATGGAACATGGAATTGGTACAGAACGGCAACATTACAGCATTACAGCAACATTACAACGCGGCCACCCAGGGAATATGGAACATGGAATTGGTACAGAACGGCAACATTACAGCATTACAGCAACATTACAACGCGGCCACCCGGGGAACATGGAACATGGAACTGGTACAGAACGGCAACATTACAATATTACAGCAACATTACAACGCGGCCACCCGGGGGCTCTGCGGCCACCCATCCTTTTAGCTCTCCACATCTGGCGTCAGCCCCTATTTATGGTTGTCAATTATTACTTCTCTTCGCGGTCGTTCGCATGAGCCAGTGAGGGGGTTTTCGGCCCGTCGCCATTGTTCTATGATCCACGGAAAGGCTTGCCAGATTACAAACTATTTGAAAGGTTTTAAATATGTTTTTATTAACCGTTTGGAATTTTATTTCAGCTCTCTCCATCATGCATTGTGTGGTTATCGTAGATGCCCTTCATGAAATTCAATACATTTTATATAGATGGGCTGGAATATTTTTGTCTCGAACGGTAAGGTCTGGGTAAAGTTGACGGGGCAAAGTAGCCAGCTTCGCGTTGGCTAAAAGTTGTTTCCTTCCGGGTAACAAAAGATATTTATATTTTAATGTATCGTCATGCATTCATCTCGGCCACTTTTCGGTCGGGTAACACGAGTTACCAGATAATGGAATTAAATGTTAAATGTTTTTTTCTATTCATGTCTTCTTTCAACGAGTGGGAGGGTGACACTAAACATCCACCCTCCTTTCAACGTTGTCACTATCAAGTACACTTGTCTTGCATGAGGCAAAGTTGCCAGTGGTTGTATGTACCCCAGCATCCCTTGCCCCAGCATACCTGCCATCCCTTGTCGGCGATGCGGTAGATAGGGATAGGGATAGGGAGTGCCGAGTGATGTAGCTATAGAAAGATACCGCTCGGTGACCGCTGGCCGTCCCTGGCGATATTTTGAGCTGTATACCGGTGCCCCCTCTCCCCAAAAACATTACGAATGTTGAGGCTTCCCTGACAGCGTTACTTATGCTCTACATAGATATCTACTTTAAATTTTCGCTAGCTGTAGGTGACATATTTGCCATTTAGGTATCGTGAAAAATTTCTAACATTTGACAACGCGTTCTTCTGTTATTGCATTGGAACTACAAAGTGGCAACATCAGTTTAATATTGCGAGTATTACATGTCAATAAGGCATATAAACTAAGATTTGTGCCTTCCCACCGCCGCAAAATGACCACCGCAGTCGATGCGCCCGTAAACCCTAATAAACAAACAAACTTCCCACCGCCCGGCTGACCCCCCCCCCCCCGTCCCCCTCAGGTGCTGGGGTGCGGTCACCGCCGTGTCATCACTCTGACGCCCCGCGCTCAGCAGCGCCGGTTTGCCTCTGACCTCCTGCGAGTCCTGAAGGCCCAACACAGCAAACAGCTGTCCGTGGCCGCCCTGCCCGAGGCGTTCGGTCAGGTGCTCGGCAGGGAGTTCGCCGTGTGGGACTATGGAGCAACGCGGCTGCACACGCTGCTGAGGACGGTCAACGGTGGGTGATGGGGGCGACGAGGGTAATTTTTGGGCGGTGTTGGCAATTTTAAATTGAACACAATGATCACATGGTAACTTTATTGGTTGGATATAGTTAATGTGCGGACACCGGTAAGAAAGGAATAAGAAGTGCGTGTCTGACACAATGATGCTGGCTTCTTGACGCACTACATATTATAGCACTATTTTGGAAAGTGACTAGATAATATTTTTTAATGAGTTGGCGGTATTTGAATTCAACTTTATTAACCCGCGCCCCGTTGGGCTCTGCCGAGCAACGCGCCCTGTTGGGGAGGGGGGCAATTTGCCCCCCCCCCCCAAGATCTCGAGAGCCACGCAACCTAGCGACAAGCGGCAAAGGGTGTTGGATAGCCCTATCAGGGAACTACCTTGTGACCCAATTTTATTGACCTAGGTCAAACCGATGACGTCACAGGTCAGGTCAAAGGTCGAATTTTCACGGTTTACAGGCATTTCAAGAAATGCGTTGTAAAATCGAGTTAAATGCTCATTGAAAATTATCGATGGGGAAATAATCTTCAAACACATATTTTGCTATTTGAGGTCACTGATACCAGGTCAGGTCATAGAGGTCAGGTCACTGGGGGGTCACAATATGAAAGTGTCGTGTGATACATGTTTTATGGTCCATTTTACATGACAAATGCGAGTATGTGGGTCAGGCAGCCTTTGGGGCCAGCTTAGGTCACGTTTTGGTCAAGGTCAGGTCAAATTAGGTCAAATTTCAAAGTTGATATTTTTGCATAAAATGGGTATCGATTCGATGCAGCTCTTCACGGGGAGTTCAATGGGGGTCTTTGTTTTGCCCTACGTGGTCTAGGATCGCTAAAAATTGAGCTAAAAAATTTGACGTCATCATTTTTGAACAGTTTTTTCGCGATACTTGGCCAAAAAACGAGATATCGACCTGAAATTTGGTATGTATATAGAAGGGCGCAAGAACTATCTCATATATTCCGTTTTTTCGATATTCTGAATTTTTTGGATTTTTTTTAGTTTTTCTAAAAAAATCAATTTTTTGAATTTTTAGGGTCAAAAACCAAAAATTTTGAAAATCCGAGACAGCAGTTTTGTAGCGCCGCTTTTTGCCTACTAGACCATATAAAGAACTTTGAAATTGCTTGGTAACTGTAAATTTGGTGAGCGTTTCCATGTTTTTTGCTCATTTTTGCTCGAACATGACCTCAGTTTGACCTCAATAACTCCTGAACTAAGGTGACCTGAGACTTGAAATTTGGTGTGAAGGTGTCAAATTGATGCCCGGGAAGGTGCTGAAAATTTGGCGCCGCTGCGCGCCGCCGTTTTCTTGCTATTCAGGAAAAACCACAGGGGGGGGGGGCCAAATTGGCCCGCCAACGGGGCGAGGGTTAAGCTATGTTTTTCTTATGATATTGTGGTTATGTATGAACTCGCCTTTTCCCCGTGTTTCAGGTGAGAGCGTGGTGGTGTACAAGCACGAGGGCGAACTGAAGGTGGCCATCCCTCGCCGCGAGCAGACGCCAGAAGAGATGCAGAAAACCAAACACTTCGCCACGGAGGTGAGACGGCGAACGGTGCGGTAGCCGGTAACAGTGCACAACTGATTGATAGGCTGCTGGCCTATATTGCGACAGGCTCCAGTCGAGCCGCAGGAGTAGGACGGCGGTCGAATTATAGTGGATCGTTTGAATGAAACTAATAATTGCAAGAATCGCATTTCTTATGCTTCATAATGGAATTAAGGTGAACACATTTGCTATCTGCTATCACATTTGCTATCTATCTTCATCATTTGCTAAGATTTACGAAAGTCCATTCCTGTGTTCATGGCAGCCTCATCCCTGTTCATGACATCCTATCCCTGGGCTGTAACTATTCCCTGTATTGTATTTGGTATTTAGATACCCTGTATTGTATTTGGTATTTAGATACCAAATGCAATTTGCTGTCTAAATACCAAATACAATACAAATAGAATTTGGTACCAAATACACATTTAGTTTCTAACTGTGTGTACTGACTACTGATCACGTGACCCTCCACCATGTTCACCAGGTGAAGGAGCTGCTGCGTCACGTGCCCTTCTGTCAGATGCAGTTCAACAAGTTCATCCCGGCCTACCACCATCACTTTGGCAGACAGTGTCGCGTCTCCGACTACGGCTTCGGCAAGCTGGCTGAGCTGTTCGAGGCTGTGCCAGAAACTGTGCAGGTCAGTCACGGTTGGAGAGAGGCGTTGTAAAGAGCTCGGGGTTGAGTTTGGTTGAGTTGTCGAGTTGGCAGTGATCAATCGATGAATTTTGTTTTGAGAATATCTTTCATCGGGATTGTCTTGATGGGATTCTTTTGTTTGGCTTCAGACTTGTCACTTTTGCCGATGCCCGTTGAATGAGCCCTATCAAATCCGTTTTATTATCTTTGCATTAAATCATTTCATGAGGTAGCCTTCGTGTAAGTGTTTGGCCTCTGTCTGACTCCTTTCTGATCTCTCTATAAATTTTAACGTCTGTCTGACCGTACTCTTGACATCCGTCTGACCTCTATCTTACCTCTATCTAACCTCTGCCAGGTGAGCTCGGACGAGGACGGTGAGAAGCTGATTCAGCTCACCCGACCGGCATTGCTCTCAGTACTCTCCGATCAGCTGGTAGCGGTACTACAAACGGCGGCGGTAAGTGTTTGGAAGGAGGGCAAGTGAATGGCTCATTGTTGTGCTCGCTCGTTTGTCGCTCAGGTGTCTTAAGGTCTGGCTTCACTATGCGTTTTCTGCGTGCGTTTTTTGCGGGTTTGCGTTTTTTACGTAATATCGTTCTTGAAAAATAAACGTGATTACGTTTTTGTGTTGTTTTTATATTCAAGTTTAGTGAATTTAAGAGTTATATTAACCTGCGCCGGGCCGGTGCTCTGAGATTCCGCGCCGGGCCGGGGGGGGGGGTGTTTGAACACCCCCCCCCCTCTAACTCGGCTCCTGGGCCACGTAGCGACACGTGGTAAGCGGCAATCGAAAGAACGTCCAAAATAAGGACGAAAACGCTGCTTCGGTCATTTTTTTGGGTCAGGTCAAAGGTCAGGTCACCAGAGGTCACCAAAGGTAAAATGTTGACAATTTCAACATTTTGGAAACTGCCGTCGGCTATCTCGGGAACCGATAGAGCTACAGCCCCGCGGAAAAGCGCATTCGATAGCCCTTTTACATACCTTTCTGAGCAATGTTCTCAGATTTGACCTCAGGTCAACGGTTTAGCCTCCAGAGGGCACAAACTAAAAAAAAGCCGTTTTTACGAAAAGCGTTTTTTCGGCAATAACTTTTGACTCAAAAGAGCCATGACATTACTTTTGCCAGCATCGTGTTCCTCTCGTCGAGACGCGTCGAATGGACTATAATTTGACCTTGAAAGGTCAACTTGAAAATTTGATCTCAGGTCAAGGTCATGACCTGACCGGAAAAGGTCATATCAGTCGATCCGCAACGTCGAGCCGAACACATCTACGGCGTTTTCAGCGCTCTAGCACGCAGCTATCAGAAGCTATTAGCGAAAAACTGTTAGATTCTGTTCGTGACCTGAGATGACCTCGGGGACATAACGAGGGGTCACAGTTGCCATTTTCCGGTTCAGTGTGTCAATCTTACCCTACATCTCGATGTTTGAGAGTGTCTAGAATAGCATTCGTGCAAAACAGACGCTTTTCAATTTTCTCCCATTGACATAATGGAGAGGCCGCAAAATTGACCTGACCTTAGGTCACCGATATCAAAATTCCGAGATATACATTTTATAGATAATGTTGCTCTAATCAATCGCCGAAAGTTTCAAGGCAATCGAGCAATCGGTGTAGCTATGACGAGCATTCTTATTTTTTTTTCTGAGATGAGGTCACTTGGCGTGACCTGGTGACCTGACCTAGGACGACCTGGGTCTGAAATTTTCACAACATGTGCGGAAAATGCACGAACAGGTGTGCCAAAAACCGCAGGGGGGGGGGGGTGTTCAAACACACACACCCGGCACGGCGCGGGTTAACTTTTGTATGTAACTAATGTAAAAGTTATATTATTACGAGCGAGCGAGCGCAGCGAGCGAAGTGAGTCTTTTCAATATAACGGAAAAATCTCAGTATGAGCGGCCCGGCCCGGCCCGGCCCGGCCCGGCCTGTAACGCTTTTGAGAGGCTTATATCTCAGCAACCGCTGGACCGATTGGCCTGCGGTCTTTTTTGTTGGGTAGCCCCATCCCTTCTACCCCGTAATTGACTACTTTTGATACATCTCAGTGACCGTCGTGGCACGTGCCACGTGAAAAGTCAAGGGTGTTCAAGCTGTTTTGCAAAAGTAGTGATTTTGAGAGGCTCATATCTCAGCAGCCGCTTGGGCGATTAACTTGCGGTAATTTTTATAGGGTAGCAGCATCCCTTCTACCCAAAATAGGATACTCTCGATGCATGTGGGTCACCCCCAGTGCACGTGCAAAATACAACAATAAGAGGTGCCAAATTTGTTCCCATTTCAGTAACTTGGTAATTACTGGGGCGATTTCGCTGAAACTTGGCATACAGGTAGGCACCCACCAGGCAATGCATTCCCATGTGTTGCGGTTAGGGTGCTACTGCACGTGCGCACGTGCAGGGGGCGTTTCCAGATCTCGAGAACGGCTGGGCCGATTGCGCTCAAATTTGGTACACGGTTGGGGACCAGTTAGTAGGGTGCCGTGCAAAAGTCATTTTGGACCCCGTTTGCACGTGCGCACGTGCAGAATGCCGCTTCCAGATCTCAGGAACGGCTGGGCCGATTGCGTTCAAATTTGGCACACCGCTAGCGACCAGTTAGAAGGGTGCTTTGCGCAAGCCCGTTGGAAGCGCCCTCTCGCCCTTCCGCACGTGCAGGGCTCACTATCTCGCTCGCTCGTTCTTCGCCCAAAAGGCGTTTTACTGGTTAATAACTTTTTTCAGAACGATATAACGCAAAAAAAAAAACGCAAACCCGCAAAAAATGCACGTAGAAAACGCATAGTGTAGCCAAGCCTTTATAGGGAGGAGGATATCACATTGTATTTCTGCTAGACACTGGGAATTAGTGGATTTGAAGCGTGATGTGCATTCGTCATGCAATGACACAGACGCAACTAGCGATAGGGTAGAATTTGTGATTCCGCTGTCTGATTTCATTTTTGTCCAATATTGTATCGTTGGGTTACATCTGTTTTACTCCCGGGCACTCTTTGCGTCTGTTTAATGATTTCCCTTCTGTTGTCCGCCGACAGTCTGAGTCTGTGGGTCTGGACGAGCTGTGTCAGCTGTTTCTGCGGGAGTTTGGGTACCGACTCAGCCCGGCCATGTACGGAGCCGCCAACATCAGGGAACTGGTAAGTGTGGCCCGGCGTCTTCCGCCCATTATATGGAGACCACCAACTAATAACTGTTCGCCCGCTCGATAAAGCAGAGCTCTGGCTTCTGTTGAATATTTGGAAACGTTGAATATCACCTAAAATATACAAATTCGTTACGTTTTAAAGGCTTGATATTAGGGTGTTTTAACTATGCATATTTTTTTTATTCCAATTCGAATGAAACGATGGCTGATTTCGGTTTTTATGGTTGCGTGTCCACATATGTCCAATAAGCGTCTCTCTCCCTCTGTCAGCTCTCCCAACTGCGTGCCGTGGTGCGTGTGACCGGTCCGGCCGACAGTCCGCGCGTGCTGCTAGTGAACAGACAACACCTCAAACAGACGGCGCTCAACGTGCGACTGCTGCTCATGGACCAGGTGCGTTGACGGTAGATTGTGGATTTCTCATTTCCTGTGTACATCCACACAGTGGAACGACATGGTTAGCTCGCGCACGTCGGGTGGGGTAGGTAAAGTAGACTCGTGCTCGCTCTTCAACTACGTGCTGTAGTAGATAGAATGTCCAAATTGAGTTGTCCGTTGAATTTCCTTGAACGCCCCTTCAATAAAAAATTGAATGCTCCGTCGAAGTTCCGCTCATTTCGCAGTCCCAGGGGTGTATGTCTTGACGAACTACTTGCTCCGCACTCCGCAGCCCCTAGTTTACCTGACCTGACCGAAATGTCTGTTCGTCTCTCAGCCCCAGGGCTGTATGCCGCTGGACCGGCTGCTGGAACAATACGCCTGTCGCTACCAGCAGCCACAGCCCACAGCGTATAGGTCACTGAATTGTTATTTGTTTCTCAGCCCCAGGGCTGTATGCCGCTGGACCGGCTGCTGGAACAGTACGCCTGTCGCTACCAGCAGCCGCTCAGTCTGGACACCCTCACTGCCGAGCTGCAGCACGTGCTCAAGGTTGGTACGGTTTGTTAGGTTAGGCTGGCCGGTCCTGTCGGTCTTGTAGGGCCATGTCAAGCCATGTCAGGACCATGGTATGACTAGTACATGGACAAGATAGTGAGAGGATTAGAAGGCGAGGAGGGAGTGTCACCACTATCACCTCAATCATGGTTGTGAATGGCCGTTTTGTGACTGCAGCTGCTGCGCGACATTACATCTCGGTAATGCGACTGTGACGTGATAGTACTTTTCATATGCACGGTAAGGCTCTTGATCCTTATTCCGGCAGCTGGGAGCATGCCTTTCTATGACTTACGTCGTGACCACTCAGACCGTGCCATGCTGTGACCGTGTAGCCATGTCGTACCTATGCCATTATCATGCCGACTGATTAAATGTATGTCTCCCGTGCCGCAGGTGGAGGGCTCACCTCCATCCGCCCGCCACGTCCGTCTAGTCCCGCTCCAGCTCCTGGCCAGGGACGTGGTCCGACTCCTCCGCCGCCACGGGGGCAGACTGCAGCTCGCTGGCTTCCACGCGGCGTTTTTGGCAGAGTTTGGCGTGGCGGCACGGCCGGCTCAGTTTGGCTATCATAGTACCCCGGCGCTGCTGGAGGCACTGGATGATACGGTAACGCTGCGTGGACGAGGTTAGTTGGGAAAATGGGCCAGTCAGTGAAGAAAAACTGTTAGTGAAGTTACGGAGGTGGTCGTTGGTTGGAGTATGAGAAATCGATTGCTTGGAGTTTATTCCATCAGGAGTTGATTCGGGCATAATGTTTTGATCATCTTGTTGAGATGTTTACTTATTTTGCTAGTAGGTTCTGGATCGACAGCCTTTAAGTTGGTTGTGCGACAATTTTTCTTCATATACCCCGGAGCTTAGTTCTTTTTGCTTTTTGTAGTGTTAAGCAGGCTTAGCCTGTGCACTACTATGCTTGATCGCTGATAACCAACACATTTCACTGTGCCAGTTGCAGCTAGCTTCCGTTAGTCCAGAAGTGAGATTCGGGGATAGTCGCTGGTCAGTGGTCACTACTGCCAATACCATGCTTCAGTGTGTAACGAATCCCGTCGGTTCGACTTTCACAGGCGCCCAGCGGTCCATCCACCTCCTCCGAGAGTTCACCACTGGCTGCGACTCGAACGGGGGCTCGGGCGACGGACGACCGCAGGCGGCCGGTGGCGCTCCCGAGCCCCAGCCGTCCGCCCGCGGTCCGCCGCCGCCGCCGGCTCCCGTGCCGGGTCCTCACGGTAAGCTAATCGAGGAACAGCTAAACAAGCTGCTCCTTAGATTGTCAGATATTGCGAATGGAGGCATTCATTGTTAAGATATTAGTCGCCGCACAGTAATGGGTTAGGTGCGGCCAGTGCAGATGTTGCTTGGATGCGACTTTTGGGACATCGTTGTCCCAGATCGTAGGTTTAGATGGCCAGTCTAGAATGCATAGAATACAATGGCAGTGAACATTAAAATTAAATTAAGTGGACTTTTTTGTTGGGATGTTATTACCACTGTAAACTGCCGTGAAGTGATAGGGGTCATTCGCGAGCTACCAGAGAGTTTACTCGCCTTGCAGCTTCTTAAGGGACTGGTATTACTGCCTTGACGTCCTCTCGGGCGACGATAACTGTCTGGGAACCTGAGGTCTGCTGCTCTTGTCTGGAATAATCCTGTAATTGATTATGCTTTCCTTGTACTTCGTAGCCTCGCACTGACAGTAATCTCTCCTTTTACCACAGGTGACAGCATCGACTGCGCCCGAAGACCTCCCTCCCCTGGGATGCAGGTAAGGTCGCACACTGAAAATACACGGTCTGGCCTTTCCAGACCAAAACAACTTCTGATTGTGCTTTAACTTTTTGTGCTTACTTTTTTGCGTCTTAGCATTAATTGTTGTTTCAAAATAAATTTTATCTTCCAGGACGTGGTCTTGCTTGCGATGTTTTGGGTTTTGTCCCTAAAGGCATGTTTCAAAATATTGTGGTTTGGCTTGCAGCACGCATCGGATGCATTTGTGCCTTTTGTGAAATATTTGCATGTTGATATCCCATTTCACCTTGCACGATTTATTTCGTAAGACGTTCGTACGATGGTGGATCGCTTCAGGGAAATATATCATTGATAGCTGTTCCCCTTCAAATTGGAACCGCCGTGCCGCAGCTCTGTCAGTTTGTGATATTTCATTCGTGTCTCGTTTTATCACCTGTACTTTTATCCGCCCTGCACCGCCTCTGGCCATGCTGCACCCGGTGTGCGCGCGGTCGGGCGTGGCGCGCCAGGTGTACGCCGGTCAGCTGGTCACTTGGTGCCGAGCCTGGGTTTCGGCACCCCCGCCGCCACCGCGCTGGCTGTCCACGCAGATGGCGCCACCGCTGCCGCACCAGATGGCGCCACCGTTTCTCCCGCCGCGGCCACCGCTCGGGCTTCGACCGACCGCTTATGTAAAGGATTTTAGTCGATTGTGTTTCGTAGTAACTGAAACCGGTCCCGTAGTTACCGACTGTATTATGTAGTTGAGTCGGGAACCTAGAGCTTTCGGAATTTCATAGAATTTATTCTGCCCGATTCAGTCTTCAGAACCTTACAATATGGTGCCGAGTGAACTGGATTTGAAATGTGACACTCGATATACTCTGAAACAAATTACCGATTGAAGTCTAGAACAGCAATTGCCTCATTTTAGAAGAGCTCCGGACCGGCCACAGCTACAGCTCTTTCATGGCAGATGTTGCTGCTTCAGTAGCTTATGCCTCTACCGTATGACAGCATTTCAGTGATGTGCTGGCTACGAAATCACTGATGGAATTATCTGCACAACTTGAGTGCGAATAGATTATAGGGATGTTAGTCAATTAGTCGACTCATGCATGTTTCTGTTCCGTTGGTAGCGGTGGTAGCAGAGCTGCCGTGCAGTTGTAGCCATCACATGGTAGCTGTAGTCGCACTTGTATTGGTATCTATTTTCCTGCTGTTAAAGCTTCGTATTGAATCCCTGGTCTTTCTGTCATGAGTTGTCGGGTTCATTAGTTTATCTGCATCGGATTGTACAAACTCTGTGTCAAGATCCTTGTTTATTGCCTGCCAATGATTGTCGGACTATCTTCCACAGTAGTCTTTCATCTGCTTTCTAGAAACCCTGGAGAAGCATGCGAGGCTCGTTTGATTTTGATTCGGCCGTACACCTGTGTCTTATGGTGACGCTGGCCTCGACACCACTTTGTTGAATAAAGATTAGACCCTCGACTTAGATCGAAAATATGCAGTTGTGGCATTTTGTGACATTTGCCCGATTCTCTTGATATTCTCGTACTTGGCATTGTGATTGTGATAACCAGCTAGCGTCGTGTTTTACTTGTGTCACGTGTATCTGTGCATGCTTTTACACGTTAAGACGAATTCAAAGTCTGCTTTATCGTCGTAAATTTCTACCCAGGAGTGATCAAACCACACATTTTCAGTCATCGTCTCATTCTATACTGCCTGTGTGAATGAATTGTATAAATGTTGATTGCGAACCCTCCTCGTCATACGCTTACTTGTAATTTCATATGTATGCATAGAGCCCGCAAACACTGACTGTATGTCTGTCTGCGCGCCAGGAGACGGGCTGTATGTACCTAGCCAGCCCTCCGGCGCCGTCCGAGCTGCCCCGACCTCAGTTCAGCTGGCTGCCGCCGCCGCCGCCGACCCCTCCGGCCCCTCAGCCGGGTCCTCCGCCCGCTCCAGCGCCGGACAGTGTGGCGCCTCTACCGGCCGCCAAACCGACGCCCCCGCCTCTGGGAGCGCACCCCACCCCGCCCGAGAGACGCTCTTCGCGAGGTGAGGGATGGTCGACGAGCTGTGATACTTCAGAAACACATGAGATACGCATACTTTGGAGCGATTGTAACGGAACGGAGGTGGATGGAGTTGTTGCAAAGAAGAGCGATGATTGTCTTGTGATGTTAACTACCATGTGTTTTTCATGGTACTGGCGCTATTTAGTGGTTGCGAGAGATGCATAGGGAAATGCACTGATGGAGCTGCTAATTATGAGCGAATTGATAGATGCCAGTTACATAAAACATGCTAGCAAAACTACGCAGAAACGTGGCAGGCCTTGACTGTCCTCTGAGTCGGATAGGAAAGTTATTTACCATCAGATGATACGAGGTGCAGATATAACCTTGCACAACTCTGAAAGATAATTGGCGTTAGCTGTCGGTTCCCTGAGACCCTTCGATTTGTAGGATTTAGCCGTCATTAAGATGGCGACTGACCTTCGTTGTTAATTTTTGTCACAGGCCGCAGCCGAATCGCCGCCCAGTTCCCTCCGTCCCCCTCCTCCGCCGCTACATCTACCACGGCGTCTACCGCCCAGTCGTCCACCGCCACGACCACGACCACAGCCGCTACTGCTGCCGCTGTCGCTACCTCTAAGACCAAGTAGTGGATTCATGCTGGGCTCGTCTGGCTTAAACCGGCCTGCACTGGGGGCTGAAGCAGCCTGGTAGTCTTCTCAGCTACTGAGGTGGTTGATAGTAAGGGAAGGACCGGTATAATATGTTGGCGTCGAAGGAAGGAACAGGCTTAATCTGTGTACTGTCTGCTTTGGACTACTGTCGACTTCTTCCGACGGCAGGAGAACGCTATAGGATCTACGCTACACAGCCTAGCTGAGAGAGGTGTGAACTTTGAGCTGGGCTCATATATTATTACGTTCAGTGTAGTGATTGCCTTATACTGTTTCATACATTGTGATTTTTTGGATTAAGTCTGGAGTGAACCAGGTCAAAATGGGCATAACTGAAAACAGGGTTTACGATAAACTAGAGAAAGGGTAGAATTCACTGAGAGTTTAAGTGACGCATGTGGGGCTAAAACAGCACCCAGACACGTGTTTGGCAGACAGTTATTGTGTTTTGCCTCTCGGGCGCTGCTAAGTACCAGTCTGCGCACAGCTGTATATCAGGCATCACGCCGATGGCTTATCTCCGTCATGGTATTGTCTGTGTATGTGACGGACAAGTATAGCGGTCCCACAGGTGGAACCCCATTCGGCCCGCCGGTGGATTTCACCAAACATAGACAGATAGTTGCTCCTGTCTGGAAACCTGTCTGGTTGTGCCATTCGTGTGTGGGATGTTCAGTATGCTAGGGACATCTCACGGCACGTGATCTGCGTAGTTGATTGCGGTGTTGATAGGTACAAATCGTAACGGCGCTGCGCGCCAACCGCTGGGTACAAACTGATTCCGTGCTGCCGTTTACCCAGTGTCCAACCGTCCTGCTTCATCACAGCTGCCGTCAGCATTTCAGTTATCCTAATCACACTGGCTATTTACCTTGATAGCGATGGTTTTTCAGTATTTGATTAGTCTTATTCCGTCTCAAACCGTGGTAGCCTTACTAGATGCTGCAATTATGATCGTTGATATACCAGCATATCAGTCGTACTTACACGTTCCTTTTGAGGATTTGATTTGCGATGTACTCTTTAAGGCATGAACCCCAGGCGGTAAAAATGTCTGAAGAAATTTACCAACTACGCGGCATAGTCTCGTACACGGAACCGATTTCCTTTTTCAGTGTAGTTTGAACAGTTATATTATGTCCAGCATGCGAGACCACGGAGCCTGCGCGTTTAGTTGCGTCTGTGGCTGAGTTCTGTGGCGGAAACTCGCAATTCGTCAGAATGGTCGATGTGATTATGTGAAGTCCCTTTTCCTAAGGTAGCGAGCGGCTGCTCTATGTTTCTACTGGACCATGCCAGTTGAAGTGCTCAAAAGTCGCAATGCACAATAGCCATGGTTGAGTGCTAGCGGCTTGTACTTTGTTTTTTTTTTGTATTGTGTTCAGTATTTATTGGCGGTATCGATGTGTTCGGTGATTGGTATTTGATGGTTTGTTTTACGGATGTTTTGCGGATGTTCAATCTGCCCACAGTTTGAGGCCTGAGGCCCCTGCTCTTCAGTGAAGAAACTGTTGAATTTGTACGTCAGTTCTCAGCTTCTGAAAGTGGTAGCGCTCATGTTCCGCGAAAAGGTAGCATGGTGTGCGCATATGACGCATTGTAAAGCTGTATGCCTCCCTGTGATGCAAGGCAGCGTTCCAAATCCTCAGCGTTGCCCTTGTGAAGGCAGACCTTAGAGTGATAGGTTGCTTGTTCTCCATCAAAGCACAAGAAGTGCCGAGGTGAGCCATAGACTGACCTGGCCGTGGCTGTGCCAGATATGTGTAGGCTTATGTGTTAATGTTGAACTGGCAACTCTCTGGTGTCTTGAAGGCAAGGAGCGCTCGTTCCCTGATTGACATCAGGATAGCCCGTATGGTGTATTGCCTGCAGCCCGTAGAGTGTATAGGGAACTATGCCCCGGCGGCTAACGCTGACAAACTTGTACCGTCGCGTGTTTTGTGCCGAGACGACATTGTATCGCCGCGATTGTTGTTGCGCGTATGTTTTTGTAGATCTTTATGGTGTGCGCGCAGGCCCACGCGCTGAGAGCTTCCTGTTGCGGAGTTACGCGCTGGATTGTAGAGGCACTGCGCCGGTCCCGAGCGTACACCTCGGAGCCCCGGCATGGTAGGGAAACAGACCACTCCGGGCTTTCATTGCCTCGCTCAGAAGTGTTTTACGTTGTGAAACACAACGATTCTGTGAATAAAGTTGAGTGTCACGCAAAGCTTGCGTTCTGCACTGGAGTGTGTAACTCGCTGGTTGGTCATGTTCTGTTTACATCAAAGGAACTGAGAATAGTACGAGGAGCGAGAAACAGGATCTGCACGGACCATTGTCATTTTGTGTCAAGTGAAGTCACCGATAGGGCAGGAGTATGTAGGTTGCGGCCAAGCGGGCTGCGGACACAAAATATGAGGACTTGCTTTTTTCTGAGCTCTGAAAGCTCCAGAGCGGGCAGGGAGCGTCAGTGCCCTACGCGTCGAGCTTTGCAATTCATACTATCCCTGGTGCTGAACGCCATGTGACGGGATCCGGACCTAAAAAATCCGTACTGTATGTAAGGTAAAGATAATCCGAAACCTTTCTACTATTTCTGCCAGAAATACGGCTAGTTTGGTAGAATTTGGGGACAGATGCCAGTAGGAAAGAAGCGCAGGAGCCGTAGGAGTTCTTTAAGCTGTGTTCACACGGCACTTTCCTTAGAGTCGGGACGCAATGCATTTGCTACCACTTTTGCTACGATTTTAAATCCCATTGAATCAATATGGAACACCACAGTTTTTTTTCCAAAAAGAAACATTGCGCTGCAAGAACATTACAAATTGTACCAGCATAAATGTAGTCGGTAACAAGCAAAGATTTATTGTAATGGTCTACTGTTTTAGCCTAACTTTTAAGACTTGGTGGTATGAACGCTGCCTTGCACTTTGGACTTCGTTGTGTTTTCTTTCGTGAGTTTCGAAGTCGATGTGCAATAACAAACGACTTCTTGAGATGGTTGGCGTTGTCGGTTTAATTTCAATTTGTTCGCAGTTTTGAACCAAGATACCTATAAGAAAGTTTTGAACCATCGCTACGATTCTCCAGGATATTTCACGGGCAAGAGCGCCTCGTTTTTCGTAAGTATTTTACGTTTTCTCGTTAGGACGCTCTGGACCACATTTTTCAGAGTTCTCAGCTTGAGGGTTGAGATAGTTTTCTTGGAGTTGAACATATTTGCATGATATATGGCTGGAAACATTTCATTTTACTGAGTTTGGGGGTAAAGCTCATTTGATTGCATATGACAAATGTGCTGCGTTGTGATGACAACACTTTTCGTTGCTTCTGGAATTTTGCTTTTATTTTGGGCTAATGTGATGTGACATGGGCCTTGTAGCATGTAAAATATGACAGCATATCATGTGTATAGGTTAACTCTTTGAATTGGTTTTCTGTCCTTCGATGCATTGCAAACTGAGGATTAATGGTGTGGTGCGGATGAGGATTGAGCGTCAGTCATCAAGGTGTTGCCCCAAATTGAGTGGCCGTGGTGCCATTCCAAGCATGAGACATGGCTGTAGTTCAATGCTGAAGTGTGACACTGCCCATAATACTACATGAATATGCACAGTATTCCGTGCAATAGCTGATGCTGTCAAATATTTCTTTTTTTATTTGGTTTGATCGTCATTTTGATTTGTTTGAGCTGGGCTAGGAAGTGGAGCATTATACCTACCTACCCATTTAGGATGGTTATTGTTTGGTTATACTTACTTATACTTATACTTACTTATTTGGTGTCAGCTTTTAATTAGCATGCTTCCAGATTACTGGCCTTTCTTGTTGCAGTCCCTTCATTTGCTAATTTTGGGTGGTTTTGTGCTATCATCAATGTGTTTGTGTGTTTTCACATTCTGGAATCTCATAATTTGATGTTTTTGACCTGATTCTGGGGATGATCCAGACCATCAGTCAAATACCTAATAGGTATGAATTTTTATTTATAGGTTGAGGTGAGACATATATGTGACGAATGTGTACTGTGCATTTTGTGACTGTGTTTTATCCTTCCCCAGCAGAGTTGTATCTGGGTCGAATACATGCTTTGAACTGAACATCACACTTGCATGGGAAACAAATAACTTGTTGTGCTACAACATTGGTGATGAGATCTGACTTGATAATTCTAGTTTGTTAGAAAAATTGAAGTGATGCATTAATGTGATGTGTTAAAGCTAAGTTTAGAATGTTGTGTCTATTGCTGAAGTACAGCTATTGTTTTTTCACACTTTCACAATGTGCTTATATTTATATCAAACAGGAAAGAACAGAGCTAAAGTCAAAGTGCTTAAGTGCTCTAGAAACTGCATTGTTCATTTCAAACAGGATGAGAGATGGAGTAGCCTTCCAACTGTCTTGATTCTCGATGGCCTTTCAAGAAATATTCTTAAGCATTTAGAAACTAATATACATTGTATGGTGCAACAATTTTTTGGGAGAGGCTTCTTATGTCTGCCAGCCTAAAATCACTTTTCTGCTCCGCAGGCTGTAAACGCCGCTGCTGCCGCTCCCAGCATGGCCGACAGTGAGGGAAACTCTCCGTACACACTGCATCGGCCGGGAGCCTTCGGGTCGGCGCCTGGACGCTCCCCCACCGGCGCCGGACCTGGACTGGGTGAGGGCACTATTGGAGGTGGTGGGACCTGGACTGGGTGAGGGCACTATTGGAGGTGGTGGGGCCTGGACTGGGTGAGGGCACTATTGGAGGTGGTGGGGCCTGGACTGGGTGAGGGCACTATTGGAGGTGGTGGGGCCTGGACTGGGTGAGGGCACTATCGGAGGTGGTGGGGCCTGGACTGGGTGAGGGCACTATTGGAGGTGGTGGGGCCTGGACTGGGGGAGGGCACTATTGGAGGTGGTGGGGCCTGGACTGGGTGAGGGCACTATTGGAGGTGGTGGGGCCTGGACTGGGGGAGGGCACTATTGGAGGTGGTGGGGCCTGGACTGGGGGAGGGCACTATTGGAGGTGGTGGGACCTGGACTGGGTGACGGCACTATTGGAGGTGTTTGGGCCTGGACTGGGTGAGGGCACTATTGGAGGTGGTGGGACCTGGACTGGGTTGGGGCACTATTGGAGGTGGTGGGGCCTGGACTGGGGGAGGGCACTATTGGAGGTGGTGGGACCTGAACTGGGTGAGGGCACTATTGGAGGTGGTGGGACCTGGACTGGGTTGGGGCACTATTGGAGGTGGTGGGACCTGGACTGGGTTGGGGCACTATTGGAGGTGGTGGGACCTGAACTGGGTGAGGGCACTATTGGAGGTGGTGGGACCTGGACTGGGTGAGGGCACTATTGGAGGTGGTGGAGCCTGGACTGGGTGAGGGCACTATTGGAGGTGGTGGGGCCTGGACTGGGTGAGGGCACTATTGGAGGTGGTGGGGCCTGGACTGGGTGGGGGCACTGTCGGAGGTGGTTGGGCCTGGACTGGGTGAGGGCACTATTGGAGGTGGTGGGACCTGGACTGGGTGAGGGCACTATTGGAGGTGTTGGGGCCTGGACTGGGTGAGGGCACTATTGGAGGTGGTGGGACCTGGACTGGGTGAGGGCACTATTGGAGGTGGTGGGGCCTGGACTGGGTGAGGGCACTATTGGAGGTGGTGGGACCTGGACTGGGTGAGGGCACTATTGGAGGTGGTGGTTGGGAGGGCAAGACTGAGAGTGTGACCAGTGACAGTCAGAAGATGGTTAGAGAGTGTGTTGGGATGAGTGGTAAATGACTGTCTCAGGGGAGAAGCCAAGAAATGCCAGGGAGTGACGTATAAAGTGTTTGTTAGAATGGTTAGGGAGTGTTGAATGGGTATATGGGAGGGTTGGAGTCCTGGGGATAGTGAGTAACGAATGCTGAGCGTCTGGGCTGGAAGCTGCTAAGTGTCTAAGGGGCATTTAGAGGAATTAGTGTCTATCAGGTCGTTGATAAGAGGACGTCACTGTGCTTCCTTCAATGTGTGTAAGCTTTTGGCATTGCATGACGTGTTGCCGTTTCCAACGTCGTGATGTTATTTCGTTGAACAATTACCTACGTAATGCCTGTTTTGCAGGCACGGCAGAGAAGCGAAACCGACTGAAGCTTTCGTTCACCAACTCGGGGTCCCTCCTGAAACAGACGCCCAAGCTGCCCCTGCCAGTGCCAACCACACAGTGAGTGGTCTGAGGGTTGTCCTATGGCTCAGAGGATCGTCCCGGAGTTTTTGAACACAGCAGCTGATATCAGAGCTGAGTAGAACGTGATAGAAACTGAAATGTTCTGTACTGTCCGCGGGATGTGGCAAGGCTAACCGCTTCTACTCCCATTTCAGACTCCGAGAGAAGTATTTTGTGCCCAAGAGCATACAACATGGGATGATGAAAATATCGCCCAATCAGGTACGTTTCATTTCAGTGTGATATGAAATGAAAGATGTTAGTGACTGATGATCGTGATTTATCGAACTTATTTACGGACTTTGCCCGTACGGACATCACGTTTCCTTGGACGTGAACACCATATTTACATCTGTGTTCCAAACATGTGTATATCTGATAACGATATTTTGCGATGCACATAGAACTCATACTGGTGATTCTTTGGTACGAAAGCAGCCCAGGTTTCACTGTGACATCGGTAGCCGTGTAGACTTGTGGAGGCGTCAACGAGTCTCCTCCCTTCCTCTTAGCGCACGAACACTGCTAACTGGGTCTGGTGTTGACCGATGTTTCACTACACAGGTGTACCAGTTCACCGCCGAAGACCTGGATAACCTGGGGGAGATCGGTTGCGGAAACTTCGGCACCGTTAACAAGATGTTCCACCGCGCCTCCGGCACCGTCATGGCCGTCAAGGTAGGACGATGGACCTGCTGGGCGGGTTTGGTGACGGGGGGGGGGGGGGCGGGGGCGGGGGCTGTTGATATGTTCAATCGGTCTAACTTAGGGATAGTGCTCACTGTATATTTCTATGCTGCTGTGCATATTGTAGATTGTGTAAGTTGTGTAAGTTCGTAAATATAGTATCCCCTATCCTATCCATCAGAACCTACCGCCTATCCATCTGTAACCATGGATACGTTTCCGCGCTGCCGATTATGATTCTTTTGGTCTTGCATTTAACCCGCGACCGCCTGGGGGGCGGGGTCGGATCCGACCCCCCCCCTCCGTTTTTCTTGAATAACTCATGAACCACTTTCGCTATCTACTTGAAACTTGGCATACCTTCTCCCCCTTCAATTTGACGTCTCCTGTGCAATTTTTAAGAAAAAATTTTCAAAACTTTTTGAGATATATCGATTTTAGTGATGTAACTACATGGCGTTTTTAGTCAAAAAGTGGTAAATGTTTAAAAAATCGCCAAAAATCAGGGTTTGAAGCAAATTGCAAATTAAGGACATCAAAAGACGCAGCTCAACAAGTTCTTTAAGATGGCTATCTCGGATTTTCCATAAAATGCGTTTTTCACCCCTAAAAATTCAAAAAACTATATTTTTTGGAAAACAGCTAATAATATCCAAAATTTTGGAAATTCCCAAAAAACCGGAATTCATGTTGTAGAGCTCTATTAGAACATTAGATGCCCCAAATTTCAACTTTCTATCTTGAATTTTGACCCCCAAATTGTAAAAAATAGCCCCAACATGCATAGGGCATGGTGACGTCATAAGCATTTTCGTGAATTAGAGGCACTTCTGAACATCGCATGTGAAAACAAATGGCACCACTAGATTCCTGGGACAAAGCTCGTCTAGAAAAGTGCATTTTTATGTCAAAAATAAAAAGTTGAAAAATTGACCTTTTTTCTTAGCCCTCGTTTAGTTATGTATAGTATAAACGATTTTTTATGCTTTCAATGCACACTTATCACCAGCACAGTGACTTGGGGTCACTTATAACCATTACCATCGGATTTGGCGTGAAAAATAAGCCATAAAACATGTGTCGCACGCCCATGTAGCAGAAAGTGAAAACCGTGACCTTTCGTGACCTGACCTGACCTTGACCTGTACCTAGTATGACCCCTATACGCACATGGTACCTTCACTAGGCCTTTGAGGTCATTTTTGGTGAGTTTCGAGCAGCAGCTGTCGATTCCGCTGTCCGTAAGCCGATTCATGCAAAACCCCTGAATTTGACCTTTGACCTGACCTTGACCCGAAAGTTGACCTCAATCCTAAAATCTTAAGAGTGCTTTGAGAAGGTCTCGTAGAGACCTTTCGAACGCCGCCTCGCGGGGTTCGATACGACCATTGGTTCTCGAGATAACAGGGGGGGGGGGGGTCGGATCCGACCCCCCCCCCCCAGGCTGATGTGGGTACGGAAATAGCCCAGGCGGTGCCGGGTTAAATGAAGTCGCATATATGATGCCTTCATAGCTTCTATTCATCTACATACAGGCCAGAATCACTGTGCTAAAAGCGTCCAGTACGGACCTTGTCAAACTAAAAGCCTGTCCAGTCAGCCACTGCCCCAATTTGCTCTCCCGAACCATCGGAGGACTGGAATTGGTCACTGCTCCCCTGGGAGATCCTCTATTTGTCGTCTCCCTCGCCCCTTGTCAGTCTTGTCGGTCATTGTCGGTCGTTGTTGTTCGCTTTTAGCCGCTGTCGGTCGTTGTTGATCGTAACCTCCCACTCTCGACTGGCTTTTGAGATCATAGGTCATCGTCCTCTGCGTTATCGTCCCCGTCTGTACCGTGAATGGGTTCCGCGTCGTGTTATCGCTGCGAAGGATGACATTTCCTGTCGGCAAATTTAAAGGCGCGCTTGTGCTCGGTGGCTAGGCGCTCCAGTTGATAGTCTTGTTTCCTGGGTAGAGGCGTTGGTACGGAAATGGAACTGGGGAATCGTAGAGAGCTCGCTAATATCGATTTATGCAGGCATTCCTTGGTTCGGACGTCCGATGACAGTGCGTACTATTTACTACTTGCTTTCTGCGAGTAATGCGTATGAATTACGTCTTTTTCAAAATATATACGGCTGCATCGTCACGAATCATAAAATCGTTAATCGTTAGTAGTTAGATCTTTTTTTTTACAACGGCGTTATGACTATTCTGTAGTAACGATTTCCGAAGGTTTTTGTTCTATTTACACATATTTATAACTTTATGTATTGTGTAGTTTCTCCGGTGTAGTGATCTACAGTCAGCAGTCAATGCACTTTATATGTTTCGAACGCTACTCACTCGGCCTGTTTTTTTTTTTTTTCCCCAGTGGCTTGCAGTGACCTATGCCGATACTTATATTTCTTACCCGACCACCAACATTTTCACCACCGTTTCTAACCATTCTGGTATTTCCCCAGCGGATCCGCTCTACCGTTGAAGAGACAGAGCAGAAACAGCTGCTGATGGACCTCCAGGTGGTGATGAAATCCAACGACTGTCCCTACATCGTACAGTTCTACGGCGCCATATTCAAGGAGGTGGGTGACGCTGCCAGGCTCGTGCCCGAGGCGCTCGGGTGCGCAGTGTGTGTGGTTGATGCGTAGGTATTTGGTGTCAAATTCAATGAAAGGCGGTCATTTTCTCATAACGATTATTTTCTTTTGCAGTTAGTTTTCCGGGGTGGTTGTGTGTCCGTGAATTTTTTTTTCGCTTTTTACAAAATGGATACACTGTATGCGATTTGTCTTTTTAGATAGGTGACATCGTTTTCTTTTATTGTTTCGTAAGCATGAAATACTTCAGCTCTCCCATATAAAATGATCCCGGAACCAGATAGAGTCAGGTCAGCTTCCCAAATGCCAGCAGTGCTCGGTCGTGTCATCAGTCAGATACCGCCCCTGGTGCTGCTACCGCCGTGCTGTCTGCGTTGAATGATATACCTCGTCCCTGTCATACTCATATCCCGGGGCGACACCTGTACCCTCTCTGATTCATCGGGAGTGCCCCTCTGACTCAGCCATATCAGAATCTCCTTTCACTATCGCTTGGGTGGGTCCCGTCGTGGTGTCATTGTGGGTTCGTTTTAACGCTGGCAGTGCGTACTGTGGCGGTAGCCTGAACTGAGTTGTTTAGTTACTGCATAATGGCTCATCTGTACTGTTTTCGGCATCTGTCCCTTAGCCTGCTGTCCCACTGTCTTTTTTTCTTTCTTGCCGCAGCCGAACTTGACTTTATTTCGCACATACTCGATGGCTTGAAGGTAAACTTCAGTGATCAGTGTCGGTAAATACATTACATCCGTCGTGCTGTCC